CCTGTACTCATCTCTTAATCTTGGTCTTACATCTCACTACATCCCAACGTGTTAGGTGTCATTTGTGTTTAGTGGTGTGTCATGAGTGTCATGAGTGTCAAGTGTGTCATGAGTGTCAAGTGTGTCATGAGTGTCAAGTGTGTCATGAGTGTCTATTGTGTCATGAGTGTCTATTGTGTCATGAGTGTCATGAGTGTCAAGTGTGTCATGAGTGTCAAGTGTGTCATGAGTGTCAAGTGTGTCATGAGTGTCAAGTGTGTCATGAGTGTCTATTGTGTCATGAGTGTCATGAGTGTCAAGTGTGTCATGACATGAGTGTAGAGTATTTCTCAAGTGTCAAGTTTGTTATGAGTGTCAAGTGTGTCATAATTTTCAAGTGTGTCCTGAATGCCAGAGTGCCAAGTGTGTCATGAGTGTCAAGTGTGTCATGAGTGTCAAGTGTATCATGAATGCCAGAGTGTCAAGTGTGTTATGAGTGTCAAGTGTGTCATGAGTGTCAAGTGTATCATGAATGCCAGAGTGTCAAGTGTGTTATGAGTGTCAAGTGTGTCATGAGTGTCAAGTGTATCATGAATGCCAGAGTGTCAAGTGTGTTATGAGTGTCAAGTGTGTCATGAGTGTCAAGTGTATCATGAATGCCAGAGTGTCAAGTGTGTTATGAGTGTCAAGTGAGTGACAGGTTAGAGAAAGAGACAGTGACAGGTGTGCGAGAGAGAGACAGTGACAGGTGTGAGAGAGAGACAGTGACATGTGTGAGAGAAACAGTGACAGGTATGACTGGGAGAGAGACAGTGACAAGTGTGAGAAAGAGAAAGTGACAGGTATGACTGGGAGAAAGACAGTGACAGGTGTGAGAAAGAGACAGTGACAGGTATGACTGGGAGAAAGACAGTGACAAGTGTGAGAAAGAGACAGTGACAGGTATGACTGGGAGAAAGACAGTGACAAGTGTGAGAAAGAGAAAGTGACAGGTATGACTGGGAGAAAGACAGTGACAGTTGTGAGAAGTAGACAGGTGTGAGAAAGAGACAGTGACAGGTATGATGCGACAGTAACAGGTGTGACTGGGAGAAGACAGGACAAGTGTGAGAAAGAGACAGTGACAGGTATGATTTTGGAGAAAGACAGTGACAAGTGTGAGAAAGAGACAGTGACAGGTATGACTGGGAGAAAGACAGTGACAGGTGTGAGAAAGAGACAGTGACAGGTATGACTGGGAGAAAGACAGTGACAGGTGTGAGAAAGAGACAGTGACAGGTATGACTGGGAGAAAGACAGTGACAAGTGTGAGAAAGAGAAAGTGACAGGTATGACTGGGAGAAAGACAGTGACAGGTGTGAGAAAGAGACAGTGACAGGTATGACTGGGAGAAAGACAGTGACAGGTGTGAGAAAGAGACAGTGACAGGTATGACTGGGAGAAAGACAGTGACAAGTGTGAGAAAGAGACAGTGACAGGTATGACTGGGAGAAAGACAGTGACAGGTGTGAGAAAGAGACAGTGACAGGTATGACTGGGAGAAAGACAGTGACAGGTGTGAGAAAGAGACAGTGACAGGTATGACTGGGAGAAAGACAGTGACAAGTGTGAGAAAGAGACAGTGACAGGTATGACTGGGAGAAAGACAGTGACAGGTGTGAGAAAGAGACAGTGACAGGTATGACTGGGAGAAAGACAGTGACAGGTGTGAGAAAGAGACAGTGACAGGTATGACTGGGAGAAAGACAGTGACAAGTGTGAGAAAGAGACAGTGACAGGTATGACTGGGAGAAAGACAGTGACAGGTGTGAGAAAGAGACAGTGACAGGTATGACTGGGAGAAAGACAGTGACAGGTGTGAGAAAGAGACAGTGACAGGTATGACTGGGAGAAAGACAGTGACAGGTGGAGAAAGAGACAGTGACAGGTATGACTGGGAGAAAGACAGTGACAGGTGTGAGAAAGAGACAGTGACAGGTATGACTGGGAGAAAGACAGTGACAAGTGTGAGAAAGAGACAGTGACAGGTATGACTGGGAGAAAGACAGTGACAAGTGTGAGAAAGAGAAAGTGACAGGTATGACTGGGAGAGAGACAGTGACAGTTGTGAGAAGTAGACAGTGACAGGTGTGAAAAAGAGACAGTGACAGGTGTGAATGCGACAGTAACAGGTGTGAGAGAGAGACAGTGACGGGTGTGTTGTGTAGGATTTGAGGCATTACTGCCAGGCCTCCCTTGTCGCTTCAGTGATCCCTGGATCTGTTGTCGCCGCCTCCGCCCTCCTGGTACCTGTCCTCCCACCTCTTCCTTACCTGTCCTCCCACCTCTTCCTTACCTGTCCTCCCACCTCTTCCTTACCTGTCCTGCCACATGACCACTACGAAAGCGTACCTCTCCTTCCTGGTGTGGTTGGTTGATTACTCGTCCAATCACAATAGTCGTGGGATAGCTATCTTGTTACGGCTCATGTGATTGGCTGATTGATGAGGGACATTGGTTAAGAAAATCGCCACTGAAGAGGTGAATGGTGGTGGTGCTAAAGACTTACAGTGTTAATGTTGTGATGTGTTATTATTATTATTATTATTATTATTATTATTATTATTATTATTATTATTATTATTATTATTATTATTATTATTATTATTATTATTATTATTATTATTATTATTATTATTATTTCGCCCTGGTGGATGACTGATATACTGTGCACATATGAGTGTGTGTCAGGTGTGGGACAGGTGATGTACAGTGCAGTATTTGGTGGTATCTGTTGTATGGTAAACAAGTCATATATATATATTCTATTTGTGTCCTTTTATTGCTTGATTGACACTGTGCAATTATTTTTATCTATTTTTTTCTATTAAAGTTTGAACCGTATGGGAATGACTCTTTTTATTTGGTCTGTGTGTGTGTGTGTGTGTGTGTGTGTGTGTGTGTGTGTGTGTGTGTGTCGTGAGTCTGTGTATTCATGCGTCTGTTTGTGTGTTCATGTTTGCGTATGTGCTTTGGAGTCCATGTGTCTGGAAATTGTAATCCTGTTGACTTGTACTCATAGCAGTGACTTTGTTAATATCCTTGAGTACGGTGACTTATTATTAAGTCATTGAATTAATTGGTTAAGTTATGGTTCTCAGGGGGTTAAGTCATGGTACTCAAGGTGTTAAGTCATCATACTCAAACGGTTAAGTCATCATATTCAAGGGGTTAAGTCATGGTACTCAAGGGGTTAAATCATCATACTCAAATGGTTAGGTTCATCATACTCAAATGGTTAGGTCATCATACTCAAGGGGTTAAACCATCATACCCAAGGGGTTAGTCATGGTACTCAATGGATTAAGTCATGGTACTGAAGGGGTTAAGTCATCATAGCCAAAGGGGTTAAGTCATGGTACTCAAGATATTAAGTCATCGTCCTCAAGGATATATACCATACTTACGGAGTTACATCACAGCAAGTATCAATAGATTTATTTTCTTAAATGTCTAAAATTTCAGTGAAGATCATCCAATTTTAATGTGTCTTAATTCCTCCTGTAGAAGGTTCATTTGACGAAGTGTTTTATCAATACAGTAATTCTTCGCCTCTACAGCGTTGGTTTTATGTTGTAGTTTCTTCTACAGGATAGTCAGAGGTTCTTCATTTAATACAACAGTTTATACATCTTGTTGTTTTATTATTAATTTTGTGTTTTATTGTGTTTTATTGTGTGGGGAAGGTTAGTGTAAGGGGTTTAATATTAACCATACATGGCCAGTAATAAACCTCCATCCTCTTCCCCTCCATAACAAAAACAAAAGGTTAAAAGGCTAATTAATAAGCCTTAACATACTCCAGAAGGTGTAAATAGAGACCACGTCAATATGACTCATTTATTTAGAGGAAAATATAAGAGAATCGATCTAAAAGACGAAGAATAATTGAGAGAGCAATAATCAGACAAATGAACAGGGAAAAAATGAATAATAAATGAAAAAAATGAAAAAAAAAATGTCAACAGTTGAATATATTATTTTCCCCCAACGCATATTATATACTTACGAATCAGGTACTTATTTTCCTTGTTTTGTTTTTTTTTTGGTAAGTTTTTGAAATTTTTTTTGAAGTGTTTAATTATTATCGTTCAGGTGCGTGGGCGTTCTGCTGTTTGGTTCCAATAATTTATTTTTTCTTCCGTTTGTTTTGTTCTTGCTTTCCTTCGACAATGTAACTCGGGTCAACGATGTCCCCGTCGGCCATATTCTCTTCTGTGTGTCTTATCCTGAGCGGTTCTGTGTCCTGATGGGCTGCGTGTCTTGTCCTGAGCGGTTCTGTTTCTTGGTGGGCTGCGTGTCTTTTCCTGAGCGGTTCTGTGTCCTGATGGGTTACACATCTTCTTGTCTTGAGCGGCCTTCGTGTCTTGATGGGCTACGAGTCTTGTCCTGAGCGGCCTCCGTGTCCTGATGGGCTGAGTGTCGATCAGTTTCTTCCCATTCAGATTGGATTACATGTCTTGGTAAACCACTGCACTGTATTCTGATTAAATGATCTGCTTTCTAATTTGACTACACGTCCTGACTGGCATTATGACCTGATCTCGTTTACTTCCTGGTCCTGTGTTCGTTCTGAGCAGTTTTACGATCAGATCGGCCCTGTAACCTGATGGGCTCCACGTCCTAGTAGGCTGTTCCATATTCTGACCGGTTCATGTCCTGACTGGCTGTGACCCCCTTAATTCACTATTAACGTGCATGTTCTGATAGGACTGTTGGTGGATTGTTTGTTCTGGTAGGAAGCCTGAGCTGGCCTGTTCTGATAGAAGACAGCTTGATGGGGAGTTTGTTCTGATTGGGCAGTTGATGGGCTGTTTGTTCTGATGGGGTAGTTGATGGGCTGTTTATTCTGATGGGGCATGTGATGATGATGATGATAGTTGTGTTGATAGTTAATTTGAGTCATTCTGATGGTGTGACAGCCTCCAGGTGTTCAGGGTGAGTTTGACAGCTATCCAGTGTTCGTCTCTTAGGTCGACAGCCGTGTGTGTTGTGCCTCTCTTAGGTCGACAGCCGTGTGTGTTGTGCCTCTCTTAGGTCGACAGCCGTGTGTGTTGTGCCTCTCTTAGGTCGACAGCCGTGTGTGTTGTGCCTCTCTTAGGTCGACAGCCGTGTGTGTTGTGCCTCTGGTCTTGTGTTGTGCCTCTCTTAGGTCGACAGCCGTGTGTGTTGTGCCTCTCTTAGGTCGACAGCCGTGTGTGGGTTGTGTGTTGTGCCTCTCTTGGTCGACAGCCGTGTGTGTTGTGCCTCTCTAGGTCGACAGCCGTGTGTGTTGTGCCTCTCTTAGGTCGACAGCCGTGTGTGTTGTGCCTCTCTTAGGTCGACAGCCGTGTGTGTTGTGCCTCTCTTAGGTCGACAGCCGTGTGTGTTGTGCCTCTCTTAGGTCGACAGCCGTGTGTGTTGTGCCTCTCTTAGGTCGACAGCCGTGTGTGTTGTGCCTCTCTTAGGTCGACAGCCGTGTGTGTGTGTGCCTCTCTTAGGTCGTGACAGCCGTGTGTGTTGTGCCTCTCTAGGTCGACAGCCGTGTGTGTTGTGCCTCTCTTAGGTCGACAGCCGTGTGTGTTGTGCCTCTCTTAGGTCGACAGCCGTGTGTGTTGTGCCTCTCTTAGGTCGACAGCCGTGTGTGTTGTGCCTCTCTTAGGTCGACAGCCGTGTGTGTTGTGCCTCTCTTAGGTCGACAGCCCTCTGAATTTTCCTGATGGACTGACAACTTTTAATGCTCTCGCTTGGGTCGGACAGACAGCCTGCTTAAAGTTTTTGAAAGCTTCCTGAGTGTTCCTGCTGGACTGACAGCCTACTTGTTTCTGCTGGATGGAAAGCCAGCTTAAAGTTTTCCTGCTGAGTCGACAGCCTTCTGAGTGTTTCTGCTGGACTGACAGCCTACTTCGGCCATCCAGACTGAGTGGCAGCCAGGCGGGGATGGGTCGGGGTTGGCGAGGCAGGGCGGGCATGCGGGAGGAAGGAGGAGGAGAAGGAGGAAAAGGAGGAGGAGGAGGAGGAGGAGGAGGAATGGTGGTGTATGGAGGTACCAGCTGCTAGGGCGGGGCGGGGCGCTAGTGTCGTGCTCGCCGGAGACACACACTGTCTGCAGGGAGAGAAGAGAGACGATTCCTTCATTAGTACTGTAGGTGGTGAGGGATGCTCCTGCCTGCCTTCCTTCCTTCCTACTCCTAAATGTAGTGAGTAACATCCAACTGGCGTCCTCAGCAACTGATTGGCTGGTGAGATTCTCTTGCCAACCAGCAATCAATTTACTTCTACGAGTTGTGGTGGCTGCTGAGGACGCCAAAGAAATAAATAGAGTTTAGTTGATGGTTGAACTACATATATATATATATATATATATATATATATATATATATATATATATATATATATATATATATATATATATATATATCATTAGTATTATGTTTATTAATCGTGTTAACTTACTATGTTTGAATTGGTTATATAATTGATAAGGAATGTTTATAATGAAAGTTCATGTGACCCTTTCTAAGCTTTGACACACACACACACACCTGCCCTTACCAACATCTCCCTGATACCACTAAAATCCCCCTGACACCATTACCAACCACCTTCCTGACACCACTGATACCTAATGGCACCTTTACCAACATCCTCCCTGGCACCACTAATGTCTCCTGACACATTTACTAACACATACGCTGACACCACTAATACCTCCTAATACCCTTCCAACACACATTCCTGACACCGTTACCAACACCCCCTCTGACACCACTAATACCCCCTGACTCCCTTACCAATACCCTCCTGACACCACTTATAGCCCCCCTGACACCTTTACCATCCACCTTCCTGACACCATTGATACCTACTGACACCTTTACCACCATCCTCCCTGGCACCACTAATATTCTCTAACACCCCTAATTCCCCCTGACACCATTACCAACACCAGCTAACACCCTTACCAACACATCCCCTGACACCACTAATATCACCTGACACATTTACCAACATTCCTTCTGGCACTTTTACCAACACACCCCCTGACACCTTTACCAACACCCCCCTGATACCACTAGTATCCCCTGACACCCGTACCAACACCCCTGACACCCTTACCATCACCCACCTTAGTCCAGACATTCGTCAATCGCATACTCTGTAATGAGCTCACAGGCGCAGTGTGACGGCACCTCAACAAAGTCCCACTTGGTCTCAGTAGAAGACTCGTCCTTGAGGTGATACAACATCTTGACGTACGTGTACCGCATCTTGCACATCGACGAGCCTATCACACCTGTTGAGGAACACATGTACATTGCAATTACCTGTTGAGGGGCACCTGTACATTGTCACATATGCAAAATAACCAGTTTTATTTATTATGTGACAGTTATAGTGATAATTAAGAATTAAACATTGTGTAAGTATGTCTTAAAATATTTTGTAGTAATACATTCAATTTAACGGTGACAACCACCATTACCATCACTACCACCATCATCGTTGCTAGTAACACCATCACCACGACTATCACCACCATCACCACGGTTACTACCACCACCACTACCACTAGAAGTAATATTAGTGCACCACCTGGCCACTAAAGGTAGTATTACTTAGAGGTAGTACATCTGGCCACTAGAGGTAGTATTTGTTCATCCTGTGGCCACTAGAGGTGGCATTAGTTCACTATCTGGCCACTAGAGGTAGTATTAGTTCAACATTTGGCCACTAGAGGTAGTATTAGTTCACCATCTGGCCACTAGAGGTAGTATTAGTTCACTATTTGGCTACTAGGGGTAGTATTAGTTCACCATCTGGCCACTAGAGGTAGTATTAGTTCACTATCTGGCCATTAAAGGTAGTATTAGTTCACTATCTGGCCACTAGAAGTAGAATTAGTTCACCATCTGGCTACTAGAGGTAGAATTAGTTCACCATCTGGCCACTAGAGGTAGTATTAGTTCACAATCTGGCCACTAGAGGTAGTATTAGTTCACCATATGACCACTAGAGGTAGTATTAGTTCACTATCTGGCCACTAGAGGTAGTATTAGTTCACAATCTGGCCACTAGAGGTAGTATTAGTTCACCATCTGGCCACTAGAGGTAGTATTAGTTCACCATCTGACCACTAGAGGTAGTATTAGTTCACCATCTGGCCACTAGAGGTAGTATTAGTTCACCATATGACCACTAGAGGTAGTATTAGTTCACTATCTGGCCACTAGAGGTAGTATTAGTTCACAATCTGGCCACTAGAGGTAGAATTAGTTCACCATCTGGCCACTAGAGGTAGTATTAGTTCACCATCTGACCACTAGAGGTAGTATTAGTTCACCATCTGGCCACTAGAGGTAGTATTAGTTCACTATCTGGCCACTAGAGGTAGTATTAGTTCACCATCTGACCACTAGAGGTAGTATTAGTTCACCATATGACCACTAGAGGTAGTATTAGTTCACAATCTGGCCACTAGAGGTAGAATTAGTTCACCATCTGGCCACTAGAGGTAGTATTAGTTCACAATCTGGCCACTAGAGGTAGTATTAGTTCACTATCTGGCCACTAGAGGTAGTATTAGTTCACCATCTGACCACTAGAGGTAGTATTAGTTCACCATCTGGACTAGAGTAGTATTAGTTCACTATCTACTAGAGGTAGTATTAGTTCACCTGGCCACTAGAGGTAGTATTAGTTCACCATCTGGCCACTAGAGGTAGTATTAGTTCACCATCTTGCAGAGGTATAGTTCACCATCTGACACTAGAGGTAGTATTAGTTCACCATCTGGCCACTAGAGGTAGTATTAGTTCACCATCTGGCCACTGGTAGTATTAGTTCACCATCTGGCCACTAGAGGTAGTATTAGTTCACCTGGCCACTAGTGGTATTAGTTCACCATCTGGCCACTAGGGTGTATTAGTTCACCATCTGGCCTAGAGGTATTAGTTCACCATCTGACCACTAGAGGTAGTATTAGTTCACCATCTGGCCACTAGGGTAGTATTAGTTCACCATCTGGCCACTAGAGGTAGTATTAGTTCACCATCTGGCCACTAGAGGTAGTATTAGTTCACCTGGCCACTAAGTAGTATTAGTTCTCCTCCCGGCCACTAGAGGTAGTATTAGTTCACCATCTGGCCACTAGAGGTAGTATTAGTTCACCATCTGGCCACTAAATTATTAGTTCACCATCTGGCCACTAGGTAGTATTAGTTCACCATCTGGCCAAGGGTATTAGTTCACCATCCCACTACTGGAGGTAGTATTAGTTCACCATCTGGCCACTAGAGGTAGTATTAGTTCACCATCTGGCCACTAGAGGTATTATTAGTTCACTATCTGGCCACTAGAGTGTGTAGTTCACTATCTGATCGTGTGGCGGCGCAACATTTGAGGACAATAACAAAACTCCTAGTACCGAGAAGTGAGGACAATCAATCGACTGCTGGAGGTACGTGGTGGCTGAGGTGGTGAGGGGCTGGTTGGAGAGTGTGGTAGATGGGAAGGGGAAAGACGGTTTGAGGAAAGGGGTGGAGGTTTATTGGAAGGAGGAAGGATTGATTTGAGGGAAGGGGAGAAGGGATGGATTGATGGGAAGGAGGTGTGGAACTGATGGGGGAGGAGGGTGTGGGGTGGTGGGAAGGGGGAGGATGTGGGGGATGGGAAGGGGGGGGAGGATGTAGATGGGAAGGGGAGGAGGATGTGGGCTGAGGGAAGGAGGGTGTGAATTGATGGGGGAGGAGGGTGGGTGATGGGAAAGAGGGGAGGTGGGGTTGGTGAGAAGGAAGGTGTGGGATGATGGGAAGGAGGTGTGGGGTGGGGTGGAGGTAAGGTGTGGGTGGAGGTAAGGGTGTGGGGGAGGTAAGGGTAGGGTAGAGGTAAGGTGGGTGGAGGTAAGGGGTGTGGGGTGGAGGTAAGGGGTGTGGAGGTGTAGGTTGTGTAGGGTGGGGAGGTAGGGGTGTGGGGTGGAGGTAAGGGGGGTGTAGGGTGGAGGTAAGGGTTGTAGGGGTAGGAGGTAAGGGGTGTAGGGTGGAGGTAAGGGGGTGTGGGGTGGAGGTGAGGGATGTGGGGTGATGGGGAGGTGGAGGATATGTAGGGTGGAGGTAAGGGGTGTGGGGTGGAGGTAAGGGGTGGGGTGGGAGGTATGTGTGGGGTGGAGGTAGAGGTGGGGGGAGGTAAGGGGTGGGTGGAGGTAAGGGGTGTGTGGGGTGGAGGTAAGGTGTGGGGTAGGAAGGGGTGTGGGGTGGAGGTAAGGGGGGTGGGGTGGAGGGTTGTGTGGGGTGGAGGTAGGAGGGTGTAGGGTGGAGGTAAGGGGTGTGGGGTGGAGGTAAGGGGTGGGGTGGAGGCAGGGTGTGTAGGGGTAGAGGTGTGGGGTGGAGGTAAGGTGGGGTGGAGGTAAGGTTGTAGGGTGAGGTAAGAGGTGTAGGTGGAGGTAAGGGGTGGGTGGAGGTAAGGGTGGGTGGAGGTAAGGGGTGGGGTGGAGGTAAGGGGGTGTGGGGTGGAGGTAAGGGGTGGGGGTGGAGGTAAGGGGGGGGTGGAGGTAAGGGGTGGGGTGGAGGTGGGGGTGTGGGTGGAGGTAAGGGTGTGGGGTGGAGGTAAGGTTGTGTGGGGTAGAGGTAAGGGGTGTAGGTGGGAGGTAAGGGGTGGGGTGAGGTAAGGGGGTGTGTGGGGTGGAGGTGGGGTGGGGTGGAGGAAGGGTAGAGGTGGGGTGTGGGGTGAAGTAAGGGGTGTGGGGTGGAGGTAAGGGTTTGGGGTGTGTGGGAGGTAGGGTGGAGGTAAGGGGTGTGGGGGGTGGAGGGGTGTGGGGTGGAGGTAAGGTGGGGTGAGGTAAGGGGTGGGGTGGAGGTAAGGGGTGTGGGGTGGAGGTAAGGTTGTGTAGGGGTAGGAGGTGAGGGGTGGGTGGAGGTAAGGGGGTGGGTGGAGGTAAGGTTGTGTGGGGTGGAGGCAAGGGGTGGGGTGGAGGTAAGGGTGTGGGGTGGAGGTGAGGGTTGGGGTGAGGTAAGGGGTGGGAGGTGGTTGTGTGTAGGGTGGAGGTAAGGGGTGTGGGGTGGAGGTAAGAGGTGTGTGTGGAGGTAAGGTTGTGTAGGGTAGATGTAAGAGGTGTGGGGGTGAGGTGGGGGGTGGGTGGAGGTAAGGGGTGTAGATAGGAGGTAAGAGGGGGTGGAGTAAGGGGTGTGGGGTGAGGTGGTGTGGGTGGGAGGTAAGGTTGTGTAGGGTGGAGGTAAGGGGTGTGGGGTGAGGTAAGGTTGTGGGGTGGAGGTACGAGGTAGGTGGAGGTAAGGGTGTGGGGTGGAGGTAAGGGGTGGGGTGGAGGTAAGAGGTGTGGGGTGGAGGTAAGGGGTGGGTGGAGGTAAGGGGTGGTGGGAGGTAAGGTTGTGAAGGGTAGAGGTAAGAGTGGGGTGGAGGTAAGGGGTGTGGGGGAGGTAAGGGGTGTGGGTGGAGGTAAGGGGTGTGGGGTGGAGGTAAGGGGTGGGGTGGAGGTAAGGTGGTGTGGAGGTAAACAGAGTGGTTGTGTTCTTCCCAAACTTTCCAGCTGACGGCGGAAATTAACAAGACAGAGGAGTTAAGAAGTTTTATCTGGGAGCCTTCCTCTACTTTCATCACCTACGTAACAATTGAATCCCACATGGGCGACTTTTCAGGTGTTTCCTCTCGACCCATGTTGATCTGAAGGAGTTCCTGTATGGTGGTCAATAGTAGGTGGTGGTGTGGGTTGGGAGGAATATTATCAAGAGAAGTATTATCAAAAGAAATATTATCGAGAGAAATATTACCGAGAGAAATATTATCAAGAGAAATATTATTAAGAGAATTATTATCAAGAGAAATATTATTAAGATAAATATTATGAAGAAATATTATAAAGATAAATATTAAGATAATTATTATTAAGACAATTATATCAAGATAAATATTAGAGAGAAATATTACAGGTAAAACAGGAAGGTAATATTGAGAGAGAGAGAGAGAGAGAGAGAGAGAGAGAGAGAGAGAGAGAGAGAGAGAGAGAGAGAGACCACCGACCTTTGCATGCGGTACAGGGAGAGACACACTCGTAGCTGTAGTAGGTCTGGTTCTGGCCGGCGATAGAGTTAACGATCACGACTTCGTTGCCGTCCACGTCGACTGATTCTTGTAGCTCCTTCCACCCTCTGCCAGAACACACACACAGTCAGTCACTTTCTCCTCACTACTTTCATGTGTTGCTTTCTAAACATTCTTCTACTTTCTATTCCTTTATTTAATTAGTTTGAGTTGCCAGGTACTCACTAGTTAATTAAGAGTTGCCAGGTATTCACTAGTTAATTAAGAGTTGTCAGGTATTCACTAGTTAATTAAGAGTTGCCAGGTATTCACTAGTTAATTAAGAGTTGCCAGGTACTCACTAGTTAATTAAGAGTTGCCAGGTACTCACTAGTTAATTAAGAGTTGTCAGGTATTCACTAGTTAATTAAGAGTTGTCAGGTATTCACTAGTTAATTAAGAGTTGCCAGGTACTCACTAGTTAATTAAGAGTTGCCAGGTATTCACTAGTTAATTAAGAGTTGCCAGGTATTCACTAGTTAATTAAGAGTTGTCAGGTATTCACAAGTTAATTAAGAATTGCCAGGTACTCACTAGTTAATTAAGAGTTGCCAGGTATTCACTAGTTAATTAATTGTTGTGTGGTACTCACTTTTTGGTGGTGCAAACTTTTGGTAGTTTTGGTAACGGTCCGATAGATGACGCTGTCGACTCCACTGTGGCGCTGCCGGTAAAAAATGGCTCGTATTACTTCATGTGTGTGTGGGAGGATTATGTGTGTGTGTGTGTGTGTGTGTGTGCACAGGATGGTGTAATGCGTCTAGTGTGGCAGCATTATGTCAGTGTTAAGATGCAAGCACTGCTTGCTTCTTCTTGCTTTCAGCAACCGCCGATGGCTAACCCTCGTGGTGAACAGGAAAGCAGCTTGCACAAGTCCTCTCTGCCAGGGATCAATAAAGGCGATATAGATAAAGTTCTTATAATATCCGAGCAGGATAGGACTCGTAGCAACGGATTAACTTGGATAAGTTTAGGAGGGATATAGGAAGGAACTGGTTCACAAATAGGGTGGTGGACGAGTGGAACAAGCTTAGCAACTTTGTAGTAAGTGCTGGAACGCTGGAAAGTTTTAAAAGGAGGCTAGATAGATTCATGGATGATAGAGAGGGGTAGTAACTCTCGACAGCAGCTGCCATGCACAGGCCAACCGGCCTATTGCAGACTCCTTATTTTCTTAGGTTTCTTATGTTTGTAAGACTCCTGCTGTGCCTCCTCGTGGAAACACACGGTAACTGGGTGCCTCGTGGGCCCAGGGTAGACCAGCAGGGGATCTCGGTGACTACCATGGGAAGCCAACAACTACACCGGCTGACGAAGGCAATGCTTAATGGACAGGCTATTAAGCCGAAACCCAACAAACTGGGCTATGGACGGTCCATTGCAACTCTCCCTCTCCCCAGCCGTTACAACACTTGCATCACACACATTCACACACACACTGGATCAAGAAAAGGGAGAGCCAAGATGTGTAGTTGCAGTCTGCTCTCCTGCCTCACCACATAAATCAACTCACGCGCAGACATCATCCAACTCATCATACCTCTCATCATCATCAAAACCCCAATACCACCAAAAGTCCGATGGTGATGGACGAGTGACGGCGGGGACAGGCAGAGATGACTGCCGGAGAGTCTCAAGTCACAACTCTGCACATGGGTGGCATAGATAAGATGGTCGTTTATGCACTGGGATCTAGGCAGCAGTTCTTTCCTGTCTTGTCTGTTCGACTGAGCAGCCCTTTCGAGGAACCACTCTGCTCACCCCACATGGGGAGGGGGCTTGAAAAGTTGCCTTAAACATAGCCTGTCTAAAGAACCAACCTGACTGGGCAACCGCACCCAGCAAGGTCATCCTTATGCGGTCGAAAACACAATTATAATCACAGATCAAAACAAAAACAAACTATACAACCTATTATGGTCGCTGCATGGAAAGGTCAGGACCTTTCGGGATACTGGCATAAATGAGCGTCCTGAAAGAAGAACTGCCCTTGTGGCAAAAGAGCTGGCTAGGTATAACATCGACATAGCAGCCATTAGTGAATCCCGGCTCCCAGAACGGGGGTCTGGATATACCTTCTGGAAGGATAAGCTCAGCGAAACTGCAGTATGGATTTGGATTTGTCATCCGCCAAGGCATCTTATATAGGCTAACCGAAATGTTTGTTGGGATCAACGAGCGCCTAATAACGTTCAGAGTCTCACTGAATCACTCACGTCATGTCTTTTACATCTGTGCATACGCCCCCACACTGGATGCAGAGGATGACACCAATGAGGCCTTTTAAGCCGACCTTGACAGAATGCTAACCTCTATCCCCAGAGTAGGGAGGTGACTTCAATGCCAGAGTTGGCAGAGATGCTGACATTTGACGGGGATAATAAAGAGAAATGAACTAGGCCTACTCCTCCTCAGCAAGTGCCTTGCACACAACCTAACTATCACCAATACCTTGTTTAGGCAGGCCGACAAGTTCAAGGATTCGCGGCAATACCCACGATCCAAACACTGGCATCTCATTGACTACATCATTTTTAGAGAAAGAGATCGCCGAGAAGACCTCATCACCCGAACCATGCATGACTCAGACCACTGTGACACTGATCATCGACTTGTCAGAGCCAAGCTCTCACTTCACGTCGCCCCAAAACGGCGAAGGCAACAAGCCTCCAGAAGAGGTTTTATCACTAAGCGTCTGGAGGATCCAGGGGTAGCAACATGCTTTCAGAGAGCATATCTAACATGGGCTGATAAACAACTTGACAACAGACAACCCAAATCCCAGTGCTGAATGTGGTATTCTCGAAACTGTCATTACAAAAACCTGTAGAGAGACTCTCGGCCAGATCGAAAGAATACACCAGGGCTGGTTTTGTGGTAATGACCCGAACTTCAATGTACTTGTCAATGATAAATGTGCTCATTTGACTGACTGGCAGAACAACCCTCAGTCTCGGACCAAAGCTGATATCTTCCACTAGAAGAAAGCCGCAGCCCAGCACGATGTTCGCAATCTAAAGAACGACTGGTTTAAAAATAAAGCCTGTGAAATGCAAAAACTTGCAAATCAACACAAGATGCACGAATTTTCAATTCCACCAAATTATTTTATGAGCCATCACTCATGGTGCATCCTTTTTCCGCTCATCCAACGGTAAATCCCCAATTAAAGATGAAGAAGGCGTCCTTCAGTGCTAGAAACAGCACCAGCATTCGCTGACCCACCTCAGCTATCCTCCATCCCTGGATGAGGTAGCCACTGCCATCAAACAGATGAAGAATAACAAAGCCTCAGGGCCTGATGGAATCCAGGCCGAGGTGTATAAAGCAGGAGGACCTCTGCTTACCAGCCGTCTCCACTCTCTCCTGGAGAATATATGGGAAAAGGAGGAAATCCCCCAAGCTCATAAAGACGCAGGATCTCACTGCTGTTTGTAGCTGGCAAGATTATCGCCTGATTCCTCCTAAACAGACTTCTCCCCGAGGCGGAAAATTCCTCCCAGAATCTCAATGCGGTTTTAGACCATCAAGGGACCATTGACCTGATCTTTGCTGTCCCCAGATACAGGAAAAGTGAAGAGAAGAACATCGTGACTTGTACATGGCCTTCATCGACCTAACTAAGACCTTCGATTCGGTTAACGAAGAAGCCCTCTGGCGGACCCTCAGCCATTTTGGCTGCCCACCAAATTTCATCGCCATTGTGAGGCAACTCCACGATGGCAAAAACAGCAGTGTCCTGCATAATGACACCCAGTCTGACTTCTTTCCCATCCAAACGGGGGTATAACAAGGATGTGTACTGGCACCAACTCTTTCTTAAATTTTCTTGGATGCCTTCCTTACTCTTGCCAGTACCAATTAGCCAGCGGGGTAGACATCCAGTACTGGATGAAGGATCTTTTCGACATAAGACGACTCCAGGCAGGAACAAAGGTGTTGGCAGCTTCCATTACTGAACTTTAGTATGCAGACGACCTCACCCCTGTCGCGCACACTGAACCTGACGTACAGGAGATCTCGAACACCACCAACGTAACGCTACTATCCTCTGTAATGTTACCCACTCTCAGTATCTCGTTTCCCACCTGTCCGCCACCGCGGACATCGATGAAGAGATTCAACATCAGATCAGATGTGCACCTCAAGCTTTTGGTAGACTCCGTACCCGTGTCTTCAGCTGTAGGCAGCTGAAATTATCTACAAAGCGGCACATATATCGAGCGGTGGTCCTCCCCACCCTGCCATATGACACCGAGACATGGGTCACATACAGGAAGCACCTCAAGGCACTTGAAAACTTTCACCAACGTAGTCTACGTTCCATCCTCCGAATTCACTGGGAAGACAAGAGAACAAATACCAGTAATCTAGCTGATACATAAGAACATAAGAACACAAGGAGTCTGCAATAGGAGGGTTGGCCTGTGCATGGCAGCTCCTGTCGAGAGTTACTACCACTCTCTCTCGTCCATGAATCTATCTAGCCTCCCTTTAAAACTTTCCATCCCAGCACTTACTACAAAGTTGCTGAGCTTGTTCCACTCATCTACCTCCCCATTTGTGAACCACTTCCTTCCTATCTCCCTCCTAAACCTAAACTTATCCAACTAAAATCCGTTGCTATGAGTCCTATCCTGCTCGGATATTATAAGAACTTTATTTATATCGCCTTTATTGATTCCTTTCACCCACTTGAATACTTCTATCATATCTCCCCG